CTTCCCCCTCCCCCCTTCTGCTAGCTGCCGGTGAGTAAACGAGCGGGGAGGGGAGGAGGTTACTGCGGAAGAGAGATACTGAGGGCAGATCTGCTCATCCCCCCCCCATAGCCAGTAAACCAAAACACTCCAGTGGCACCTTTAAGACGGAGTTCTATAAAGGAACCAGCTCTGGCTTCTCTGTCAGGGCAGATCTGCTCACCCCCCCCCCATAGCCAGTAAACCAAAACACTCCAGTGGCACCTTTAAAACCGAGTTTTATTCAGGTACAGGCTCTCCCTCCTCTGTGAGGGCAGATTTCTCTCCTCACCCCCAGCTATTAATCCAAAACAGTCCAGTGGAGCCCTGCTGTCTTCTGACACATGTCCCGTGATGTCAGGGGGTGTGGCCTTCTGTCAGGGGTGTGGCATATGCTAATGAGTTATGCATTGCCTCTGGCCCAGCCCCAGCCCCCCCCAGGAAATTGGAAAGTCTACGCCCTTGTCAGCGTGTTGTTCTTATCGACCTAGCGAAGGAAATGGCACTTTTCAAGAAGTTCAGTCAGTGTGGAGCCAAAATAGCTCAGAATGATGAATATAGTCTTTGTTTGATATGCCTTGGGGAAGGCTATAATGTGGCCAAATGCCCAGCGTGCTACCTCCTAACACCTGAAGCTCGCAATGACAGAGCACAAAGGTTTATGATAGCTTTGTGGGAGAAAGCCCTTGACACCCAGTTATATGAGGGGAAAAGCAGGCTCAGCCCAATAAGAGACCCAGAGCACCGTTGGTAGCCTCAGCTCTGATACCATCAGTTGTGGAATCTGGAGAAATTGCCCATGACACAGTATGTGACATCGGAGCCACCATGGCCTTAAAAAGCAAAAAAGAAATACAAACGGGCACCTCCAGAATCTCCTTGTGGTTGAGCTTCACCTGGATGTCAACATTCCTGGTCACCTGGATGTCAACATTCTGAATCTCCTTGACATCGACACACCTTGTCACCTAGCCACTGAATATCAACATCCCCTTGGAGTCTACAGTAGCTTTCGCCTTGGCATTGACACTCCCCTCAGTATCAATGAAGCTCACCCATTCAACATTGATTACTAGATTCACCTAGAACCTCCATGCAATGCTTATCAATGTCACCAGCTTGATGTCATTCAACTCCTACAGTGATCAGAGTCAAGAATCTTCCCAGTCTGAAAACTCCATCTCCATCACATGGTGCAACATCACCTAGGTCATCTGAGGATGAGGTGCCTGTATCTCATCATCATATGGCCATTCAAGCTGATCAGTAGCACAAAGCAAATCTGCTTGCTGCAGGCCCTTGATGTCCTCTCCAGGGCCTATGGTTTCCTTACCCCTACATGTGCCCTCCACAGTGGGGCGTATGGGACCCAGGTTTGCCCTTTCCTAAATGGGGTGCCACCACAAACCTCTCATGAAAAAGGTTAAAGCAGCTCCAAGAGTTCTAGACACTATACCAAAAAGCGAGAGTGCACCATCCTTCAGAGTCTGAAGAGGCTTACGATCAAGGGTCTGAAAAAGATTCGGAAGCCACTTCATTGTCATCCCTATATGAAGTAATGGGAGAACCGTCAGTACCTTCACCAACCAAGGATTTAAAGCTGTATGCAGAGGAGCTTACATGCATGACAAAGATATTAGATTTAGAGTACCTTTCTTGCAAATATCAACCTGCAGAGAGTCAGTTTAGTGTAGTGAGAGCCAGTTTGGTGTAATGGTTAAGAGTGTGGGAAAACCAGGTTTGATTCCTCACTCCTCCACATGCAGCTGCTGGTGTGACCTTGGGTCAGTCATAAGTTCTTTCAGAGCTGTTCTCTCAAGGGCAGTTCTCAGGAGAGCTCTCTCAGCCCCACCTACCTCACAGGGTGTCTGTTGTGGGGAGGGAAAAGGGAAGGGATTGTAAGCCACTCTGAGACTCCTCCAGGTAGTGAAGGGTGGGGTATAAATCTAATCTCCTCCTCCTCCTCCTCCTCCTCCTCCTCTTCTTCTTCTACTACTACTATCATGAAGGTACTCTATACTCTGGATTCAGGGCCCATATCCCTTCCTTTGTTACAAAACACCCAGGAGATACAAGATCAAGGAAGAGGGATGTCTGTATTTTTTCCATCCCCTGGTGGACTCATTGGTCTCTGAAACCCTTCCTGCCAGACAGAGATCCAGCTCTCAGTCCTCTTCAATGGACAAAGAGGACCAAAAACTCGACTCCCTGGGCTGCAAATTTACTCATTGAGAATGGCGGGACTTAAAGTGTCTAATTTTCTGGCTATAATGGGTTGTTATCAGATGTTACTGTGAGACTGTATGCAATAATTTTCTGATGTCCTGCTAGAGGAGAAGAAACCTCTAGCTAGAGTGTTACTTTTGACAGGGCAAAGAGTCAGTAAACAGCAGCTTAATCCTGCTAGGCACGTAGCCAACTTTAGCAGTAGCATTATGGCATCTGGAGTTGTTTTGACACAT